TTTAAATGTATGCAACTGATAATCTTACAAAGCAATCATGAACCCCTCCACTATGTTTCCAAGAAAAATCTCTAGTTTTCTAGACTACTAAGAATTTTAAAAGGTCAAAACTGAATACTTTTGATTTCTTACCTCCTAAAAGGCAAACCAGGCTATTTGATGGCATGTGTGGTCCAAAGAGAAAAGAGCTTCTAAAATTAGTATGAAGCCCATCCTACTGTGACATAATAATGAATAGAATCACTGATTTCATAACTAATAGGACTCGGGGTCTATGGGAAAGTCAGCTTGGCTGACATTCCTAGAGGAGTGAAAGTTCCTCCAAAGTTAATGGTAGAAACAAAAGATTAGGAGCCACGATGTTCCCACCTAGAGGAAACCTTATTGTACAGGATGCATTTCAGCAGTGGCCGTTCTTGAAGGGCAATGCATCTCAGATATTGAAATGCTATGGGATGCAGTAAAAAACAGAACAGCTAATGAACTTCACTGAACAACTTCATCTGTGATAGCTATTTGTGACGTCGCACATTCTGGCACGTCAGTCATTACCTTGAAAAGCTTTTTAAAAAAAGTGATCCCAATCTCAGAAAACACAAATAGATCCCCAATCTGTAAAACCCTCCCTGCTATCTTTAATCTTTCAAACCTACATGTTGTCAGATAAATTTAATGGGTAAGACAAAGCTCTTAAGATGTATTTGGATCCCTTACAATTGAGATCTGATAATCAAGGGACCGGGAAGAAAAGGCCCAACAGACAAGAAATTGTTTCAAAAGTTTTATCCCGTTTTCGTATTTCTAATAAAATTTGGTTTCCAGAGATGATACCAGAAGAAGTAGAGGAGTGGCTTTAACAGTATTCCTGTGGGTTTGGGGTTTTTTGTTTGCTCATTTTTGTTGTTGTTGCTTTGAGTTTGGGGTGTTTTGTTTTGTTTTGCTTTGCTTTGCAAGTTCAGGTATTTAACTGTTGTTATTCTTCCAAAGTGGTAGTTCTTCTCCCTTTAATCCACTGCTTCAAGTCACTGTACATCATGTTTTGAACAACACCTACCACAAGCCAAAAGCTTTATGAAATGGACACTGCTCAAACTTGAGGAAATGGAGCATTAAGACCCACTAGGGAGCTAATGATCCTCCACCAATGCTTTTCAGCAGTTTTGCTCTTGGTCCACAGGGCCGCTCATTCTTCTTAGGATATACTCTTTACATATCTTTGATTATGGTACAGATTCTTTGAAGACCTTCCCCTGGTATCCCTAAGACAACTAAGTTTCTGAGACATTTGCTACATTAATTAATGCCACTCAAACAGTAGAGATTAAATCCTCCCAGGCTCCCAGCCAAATGGAGACTCTTCCCTCTGCTAGGTCACCAAAAAAAGGAACAGAAGCAAATGTACACACATGTAAAAATACCCATCAATTCCAGAACTGCTCACAACACAGTTCCAGAAGGCTATCTTGTTACTAGAAGATCCCAAATGAAAATATAAGAAAGCAGGTTCCCCCCAAAATAGGGTAAAGTTTCAACCTTTGGAGAGCCGGCTCCAGACAGGGTAAACACGATATTGTATGTGTTCACAGCATGCTGTTATCTCATGGGCTGGCACAGAGACCAAGGAAGATCTGGCTTGGGAATCTCAGGAATGCTGTGTCTCAGGCTCATGGATGCACTTGACAGAGAGCCCAAACACATGAAAGTTCTATTGTCACGATCGTGATCTCACTGTGGGAAGACTCAGTGTTAGGTCAGGTGCCACATTTGAAATAAAAAAAAGTATGCGTCTCTGAGCTAACAGTGTAGACCTGTATGGACCATGCCACGCTCCAACCCAGGGTATCAAGACCAGTTTAGGAGAGCAGGAAGAGGTCATTTTCCAAACTGGTTGAATTCTAACGGAATTTCCTAAAGGACAGGAAGGAACTATGCTCTGTTTCCCTGCAAACAAAGTAGAGTGAGCAAGGATGAAGAAGCACTCAAGAGTGAGTCTTAGCACACAGACAAGTTAAAGAAACTTGTAGGTGGAGATAAAGGCATTCTTAGAGGTGGCATGGAGTCTCAAAGAGGTGCAGATGAAGGAAATGTTTAGAATACTGCATCCACAGGCCAGGCACATCGTGCCTCCACCTACTCTGCAACTCAGTAAATGTTTATTGAATTGAATTAATATGATGCTTAGCGCTACAATGTAATCCAGGGCCTAATTAGCTAGTCCATGCAAGCCTTCAGGGAAGATCATTCTTAATATGCCTCCATTTTATATTTGGAGAACCAGAGACATGGAATGGTCAAGTGACATCCTCAGGTCACCCTGTGAGTTAGAGGCAGAGCCAAGACGGGAACCAGATGCACAAACACCCACTGGCCACCACTGAGCTGGTCAGCCACCGATGAGGCCACTTGCTGAGGAGGGAGGAATCCAAGATAAATGGAATCTGAGGTCTACACTCAGAGATTTTTCAGTTCCCTCAACAGATGAAGAAACTTGAATTAACTCATCAAACTCTCCCAGGGGCTGGCTCAGGAAATTGGAACTTCCAAGGTCAAGTGATAAGCTATGGAGGAAAAGCTCTAAGATGGCACAAGGAAGACTAACTGAGGAGTGGCAAGGTCCCACAGAAAGGGCATGCGCTCTGGAGGCTCTGAATCCAACTCTACCACTCACCAGCTGTGACCCGAAGCAATTTACTAACCTCTCCAAGACTCAGTTTCCTCATCTATACAAGGAAAATTGTAATGGTCATCTTGTAGAGCTGATGTGGATACTGAAGATGTTATATAAACCCCTAACATAAGGACTAGTCCATAATAGGCACTCAGAGACAAACAAAATGCTAGTTACAGGCATGATTCCACAAAGAACAACAGAGCTACATACATTTAGAGGACATGTGAATGTTTCCACCGACTTGATGAAAGGAAATGTAAAACCATTAATAAACACATGGACAAGACATTCAATCTGCAGATCACAAGGATAATTTTTTCAATGTGGGAGAAATGCTGTCCAGCAGCTTATGAGCAGATGTCACCCTGGAGTGGTGCCCTTGACACAGGGCAGGATGCCTTTCACTGTCTGTTCTCCTCCCCCTCACTCTCTGTTATGGCTTTTAATGTATGATGTTCATCAAATACACCACATACTGCATGGTGGTGTATCCATATACCATACAGACTGCATTTTTACTACAGACTCCCAAGATGGAAGGCAGATGTAATAGGCACTTAAATTTGCCCAAAGACTTAAGAAAGGGTTAAATTACTTAATGCTACATCTAATGGTAGGATTTGTGACAAAATTGGCTACTGAAAATGCATTTGGGGGTTCTCACCTTCCAAACCCAAACTGCATTAAACCAGCATGTTGAGCTGCATTTGGAACTTTATTTGACAATATAATGGTTGATATTATCTATACCTCTGTATCAAACAGAAACCACCCCCTTTTCACATGGAACTGATTTCAAAGGGAGTTACACTTCTGAGGGAGAGATACTCCAGAAATCTGGGCCCGGAAGCCTCTGAAACAGCAGATGTTAAATAGTATCTGTGTTGAAAGAACCTCAGTGGTCTGCTGATAGCCTTGATATATGCACCGGTTACACCTCTCTTGACCCATGAAGTCCAGGTGCCATTTAAAGATTGTCTACACTTGGATTTGGATTTAAAGAAGTCCAGATTGGATTTAAAGAAGTCCAGGTGCCAGTCCAGGTGCCATTTAAAGATCTGCAGTAGGGGCTTCCCTGGTGGCGCAGTGGTTGAGAGTCCGCCTGCCGATGCGGGGGACATGGGTTTGTGCCCCGGTCCGGGAAGATCCCACATGCCGCGGAGCGGCTAGGCCCATGAGCCATGGCCGCTGAGCCTGCGCGTCCGGAGCCTGTGCTCCGCAACGGGAGAGGCCACAACAGTGAGAGGCCCGCGTACCGCAAAAAAAAAAAAAGGATCTGCAGTAATAGGGTGACCACTTAGAATAATTTAAGAATTATCTACAATGAGCAATCACATGAAGAAAAACAAAACAAAACAGAGGATCGTGAAAACAATCGACTCCTATAAGCAAGTTTAAAATCTTCACAACCTTCTCACTCCTTTAGGTTGATCTAAGCCAGAAGACTTCAGGTTGAGGAAAGCCAGGAATATAAAAGCCAGGGTAGGCTTTTAAATTAAATTTACCAATTTATGGTTTCCTTTAACATGATCAAAGCTAAACTTTCCAAGGGAAGTTTTCTCAGTAATAAAGGCAAAGCCATTCCACCTTCAAAGACTTTTTCATGTCTATCCAACAGCTTTGATTGCACAGTACCCTGTTTTCTTCAGAAATTAAATTTCACATTTGTAAATTTTGATCGACAAACTCGTGCTAGTTGCCCAGATTCATGCTCAACCCTGAATGGCCTAGGGGGACACTGTGAAGTTAGGGAAGTTTGTAAGGGCTCTGCCTTCTCTGCCTTCCCCTAAATGTTGGGGTTTCACTCAGCTCCATCTTCCCATCTTCCACCCTCTTCTTATCTTACTTTTCATATATCCAAATACCTACTGGACATCTCTGCCTGGATATCCTATTCTCAAATTCATCATGCACATTAGGGAGCTCTTCGTCTCTACCAAATGTATTCCTCTTCCTCCTTTTCATTTTCTTTTACTGGTGCCAAGATTCATCCAATCACTCAGGCCAGAAACCTAAGCACAACATAAGAGCACAGAGGAGACTCCAAAGATAATAGCACTTTACTGCAGGGTAGGAAATCAGGGAGGTATTTCAAGGGGCATAATGTTATTAGAGACACACCAAAATGAGAAAGAGCATAGCATGGGTATGATTTGTCAGGATAGGATGGGATCTGCTGAGGTCATAGACTCCATAATCTCAATGGCTTTTCTTCTCATTAAAAAAAATAATCCAATTCCAGTTGGTCCGCGTTCCTGCAACAGAAACTCGGGATCCAGTCTGCTTCCATCTTGCAAATCACTGTCTTAGATTCCTGCACTTCCTGAATTATAGACAAGAGAGGGTGACCACAAAGAACTCAGATCCCCTTTTACCTTCCTTGAACCAGAAGTGTCATATCCCTCTGCCCACTTTTCTGTTGTTAAGAATTTGCTCATTGTCCTAACCTAACTGGGAAATATCTTCTTAGCTGCCCAGGAAAATGAAATGAAGTAGTGAACACAGCACTGTTTCCAAAACCACATGTTTAGGAAACCATAGGAAGGCTGGAATACCTGGAAATCAATGGGGGGTGGTGGGGGTAATACGTCTTGTGGGGAAATAAAAGGGTGGGTGGACAATGTCAGAAGAGATAGGAAGGTAGGTAAAGTCAAAGCCAGCATAACTAGAAGGACTGGGTGGAGTTCAGAGCCTGAGTGCTGTGCTGTGGATAATGGGATTTTAAAGATGGGAATAGTGCAAAGACAGGAAGATGGGGTGGATGGAGAATCCTAGAGCTAAAGCTTCTCAAACTGAGACACCCCAAGGAAAGCATCAGCTCCTGCTCCTAGGGCTGCCTGAGGTTCCTGTTGCTTTAAGAGTCAGTGGAGTGCAGACTAGGGTCTGGGACTCAGCCTAAAATCAAACTAACGAAAGAGCGAGTTGCGGTGGTACTGTGATCATTATTGCTGCGCATGTGCTTCCTCAAGGGGATTGGTTCCCACACTTCCCCACTGGCACCCCCCCTTCTCAGCTGCATCCCAGCTCCCACTGCAGGCTGACCTCTCTGTTCCTCCCTGTTCCCTCTGGGTTCAGCCTGACTTTCTTCTTGCCTTGGGTGGATGTGGTTTCTTGCCTCCTTTGCTTCTCATGGAACTCCGCCTCCAGCAACATGTACTCTAGCTGACTTCCACTGTTTTACACTCAGCTGTCTTCTGCCAGTCCTGTCCAGTCAAAAGACAAAAGAACAACAACAATAATTAACACTTACTGAGTGTTTAATACATGCCTGGAATTGTACAAGCATTTTATATTTATGATCATATATAGTAGATAATGTATGCAACCACTGTACATTAATATATAAGTATATATTATACCCGATTAATATTAGATTATTTTATATTACAGTATCATATTTTATGTGTATACATAAATAAATCCAAAAATGAAATTTCATCCTCAGACCACCATGATGTAGGTGGTATTATTACCTCCTGTTATGATACAGTTGAAGAAACTGAAGCAAAAGCAGTTAACTTGCCACATTCATACAGATTGTAAGTGGTCAAACTGGAATTTTAATTCAGGATGTCTGTTTTTTAACCACTACTGCTATACTACTACTAAATAAAGATGATGGAGAGGAGGGGAGACAGACAAGATGGCTTGATAATCTTAAAAACAAACACAAAACCAAAACAAAACTGCTGTGAGGAAGAGTTGTGATTAGTCCTGAGAAGGCAGAAGAGTCTCCATCAGAGAGAATTGCAAAGGAGGAGGTGCCACCAAAGGATAAAAGCCTCCAGTTATTCACACAAGGGATATTTGTTTTCTTAAAAAGTGACAAACTCCTGGAGAGGATAATGCCTGAATTTTTGTCAATGGAATTTCACAGGCCCTGGCAGGTGGGTGGCAGGGAGATTTGAGCCCTTCCAATGACAGCTCCTAGGCCCTGCCTCAGAGAAGTCCATTCGTCTTGGCAAAGCCCCTCCCACGCACGCACAATGTGCGGTCTCGAGCCGGCGTGAGGCTGGACATCTTGTCAGCCCCCCAAACAAAATGAGAACTGTTGCCCCGTCACGCAGCTGGCGCGCCCATTCGGCAGATCCCAGCTGCCTGGAGTTGAGCACGCTGCGGGGCCACGCCCCTAGATGAATATTCATGACCGCCTGTGCTCAGAGACCCGGATTTCAAAGCCTCTAAAGGGATTAGAAGGACGGTGGGGGCTTCCAGATAAGGAGTCAGAAGGAAGGAGGGAGCTGGGCTTAGTCTAGGGCTTGCCTTTGAGGACTACAAAGAGGAGAGAGCACATGGAAACTGAAGTCCACGGTTGCTAATCTAGGCGAGGTAAGATTTATAAAGGGAGCTCGCTGCTCCTTGTAGTTTATCGTTTTTCAATGTCCCTCCACACCAACAATGTGCAATTACTAGTGTTTCACAGACAAGCTCTCTTTGTAGCACTGGGAAGCATGAAAACAACCGAGAGTAAGCTTTGTATTAAGTGCTTGCTTCCTAACTCTTATCCAGGAAACAGCTCTGTGTTAACACCGGACCCCTCTCACACAGGGTCCTGGCAGGTGTGTTAATTTGCACGGTCTACTGATCTTTTGACGGTTATCTGGGTGTCAGGCTATGTCATAGGCTAGAAACTTTAAACTTTCAACATACATATACTCTTAGATCTAGTTGGGACGTAATCAGGGAATTAACCACACCTGTTAATGGAACCAGGTTCGGCTGCCCACTGCTCTTAATATAAGCCACTAATTCAAGAGGCAAGTGTCAATAGAAAGGAAACGTGCTTTAATCAGATAAGTTGGCAATCTGGGGAGATGGTGGCATGGTGTCCAGAGACCAACTCCGAAGATTCTGCTCAACCATGACAGTTTTTTGTGGTTGTTGTTGTTTTGCGGTACGTGGGCCTCTCACTGTTGTGGCCTCTCCCGTTGCGGAGCACAGGCTCTGGACTCGCAGGCTCAGCGGCCATGGCTCACGGGCCCAGCCGCTCCACGGCATGTGGGATCTTCCCGGACCGGGGCACAAACCGGCGTCCCCTGCGTTGGCAGGCGGACTCTCAACCACTGCGCCACCAGGGAAGCCCCATGACAGTTTTTAAAGGGAAAAATGGGGGTGGTGGTGAAGAATCTCAGTGAATCGTCGAGGCAGGAGGTTCCGTTCATTAAACGCAGCATCTTGCTCCCTTTAATGCAGACTGGCTGACTCTCTCTCCAGATGTTATCTTGCCTGAGTGATCTGCCCGCAGGATTGTTTTAGGGGCACTGTTGGGGTAGAAAGCTAGTCATTTTTTTTTTTAAACTGCTTAATTCTTCATTCGTACTTCTTTTTAATCTGGGAAAAGAATCAACAGGTTAGGCAAGGCATGGTGTGCATTCAGGAGAGCATGGTCAGGAGTTAGGTTAAATTGCCTAGTGATCTCATTCCTATAATTAGGTTCTTTTAAGGTTAGAGGGGTACAGAAATGGGCAAGCAGGAAAGGGGCAAAAGAGCTGCTTTCCATTCCCTACTGTCAAACATCATTTCATTTCTGTGGGATTAGGGCCAAAGATCCATCTTCTGCAACTTCTTCGTGCCGACATAGGGCGCCATATTCTCAGAGTGGAAGATGTCAACATGGGTCTGTAGCGTCTCTTTGCTGACTATTTCAGTTGCCTGCTTACATAGATGGGCAGAGCAAGCTGCAATTATTTTGATGCCCATAAAGATATAGATTACTATGAGCAATACTGTTAATCCTATTCTCTGAAGGCCAGCTCTTGGAATTGTGCTAGCCATAGGTTCAGTACTGCTTAAGTTGGAGCAGCTTATGTCATGGCTTCAGTCTGGTCATCATGCAGTTATCAGTAGTTTTTTTTTTCTTTTTTTGTCCTCTCATGGCAGTTACAGTATCTGTAAAACGACTCAGGAATGTGCGTCAGACACCAAGTCTGTGACTCTGTTGTCTTTATCATCAACTGCTTGGTTTTGTACTTGGGGAGGGCCCTGCAGGGTTCTGCTGGGTTCCTTATCTATTAATACTCATATTTGGCTCTATTATTTTTACTGACGGAGAAGTTTCCCAGCACAGATCATCTGAAAGAGTAGATAGTACCCAAATGCGTTTCACTGACTTGTAATACAAGTTGGGCTTTCAGGAAAGTGCACTCACTGTCTTTTGTTATTGTTGGGGCCATAAGAGTTCACTTTAGAATTCACTTAACAGAAATTGCTGGAAACTTTGTTGAGTGCATCTATTCCATTAATCCCTCCATTAAGAGAGAGGCTCTGCTTTTTACCTACAAAGTGGAAATGGAAAAAATAACAGTATGGAGAAGAAATTTTAAAAAGACAAGGGACTATGGTGTGAAAGTACTTAGCTACTTTAAAGGAGGGCAACCCCCCAACCCCCAACCCCACTTCCATCCCAGAGAACTGGACACATATGCAGATGGAAGGGTAGAATCACTGTGAGCAGCTGTGAGATCTTATGGGAAGTAGGACAGGGACCAGACCAAGGACACAGACAAATGTCCCAGTAATCATGGATTCTGGAAATTATAGACTGATAAACTTGCCATTAATCCCCAGCAAAGTTCCAGACTGGATAGTTAAGCAGGCATCTCATGAACACTTTAAAACAGATGACCACTAGGAACCAACAAGAGTTCACCAGGAACTGGTCAGGAAAAGTTTATTTCCTTTTTATTTATGTATTTAAATGAAGTGCTTGACTGGTACATCAGAATGCCAAAAATAAAGAACATCTTGACAAAAGGACAGCCTATTTATCTCCTCCCACCTTTTTTTTTTTTTTTTTTCTGTGATGGATTCAGGTTTCAAAATTATCAAATTGAGCATTTGGCAGCCAAAAGAGAATAGACTCTAGAGCTAGAAAGAACTGAATTTGAGTGCAGGCTCTGCAACTCACTAGATCTGTAACACTGGGCGTCTCTGAGTCTCAGTTTTCACAACTGCTAAATTGGAATGAATATCTACTTCTAGATATGAAAGAAAACACAAATAGAGCATGCAGCACAGGTACTCAAGAAAGGGCAGTTATTATTAAGATACAATTTAAAAGGTAAAAATTCAAATATGAACTCAGGAAAGAGAAGAACTGAGTGAAGTAATTTATATAAAAATATTTTTTTTTATATTTACTGTAAGCTCAGTGTGAAATAGCCAAGTAACATGTTTCAGGTGCAAACTAAAGCTTATTAATATAAGTAAGTGTAAGTCAATAAGAGAGTCCCAATTAATTCCAGTTGGTCAGATCCTACCTGGAAGGTAGGACAAAATTCTTTGTCCCTTTCTGATTAGCAAACTTGAAAGGTAGCAAGGAAAAATTAAACACCATCCAGGATGGTGAAGACCCAGAAACCACAATATCTGAAAAATAACTGAAAGAAATGGTGTTTATCTAGGAGAAGAGATCATATAATAGCTATCTTCTCATATTTGAAGAGCTATGATGGGGAATAGGGTATTAATTTGGTCTGTACAGGTCCAAATAGTAGAATTGGGACAAATGATTGGAAGTTGCAATGATAGAGTTTGGACTCAACATGTAAACTGTTCAACAATGCAGTAAGCGTTCTTGAAAAATAGCAAGCTCACAGTTACTGAAAATATTCCTGTAATAGACAGAAGCCAGCACTCAAAGATAGTGTAGAAGAGATTATTACACTGGAAAACAGAGTGGCCTAGTCTTAGATCAGAGTTAGTAATATACCACATATATGCCACCACCCCGAACCGTGGCAGGCATGACTAATCAGTGAAAGTTGTTTTTTCCCACTGAGCTAAACTCAGCCTGGCAATCCTTTTCAATGCAGTGCTCCAAAACCATCACCACCATTTCATCAGAGTTGACAGCCCACCTAACCCAGATGAATCCTTATAGTCTCTAAAATCCGATAACTTAGAAATTTCCCCTATAGTATAACTACAAAATATGTCTGTAAATTAACTGGAAGGGGAGCCACAGTTAAGTGCAAAAATATTTCCGGATATCTGTGTATGTGTGTGCGTTGATGTCTGTATGTGTACCTTTGTGTGTGGGATATATGTGGGATAGAACATAGATGCTTTGGTCCTACCCTAAAACAGAAATCACATGAGGGAAATAACTCATTATGCACAAGAGCCCTTTAATAGTGAATCCCAGTTGGGACATGCCAATAGTTAATGACACTGCTTTATGAATACCCACCCGTTTCTTCTG